TAGCCAACACTCCAGAAGATAGGCTCAAGGTACAGAAGGATCTTTACAGACTTGAACACTGGGTCATATCTAATAAAATAATATTCAAAGTTGAGAAAATTAAGGTTCTACATTTAGGCAACAAAAATCAAATGCATAGGTATAGAATAGCTGGCACCTGGCTGGATAGCAGTAACTGTTAGAGGGAACTTGAGTCACTTAAATATCAGCCATCAGTATGCCAAAGCTGTCAAAAAAGCCAATGCAGTCCTAGGCTGCATTAACAGAGTGATAGAATCAAGTTCACGAGAAATGTTAGTACCACTATATAATGCCTTGATAAGACCACATTTGGAATATTGCATCCAGTTTTGGTCACCACGATATACCTGGGGGGAAAGATGTTGAGATGTCGAAACTCTAGAAAGACTGTGGAGAAGAGGAACAAAGATAGTTGGGGACTGGAGGCTAAAACATGAAGAATGGTTGCAGGAATTGGATTTGTCTATTTATCCCCTTCCCTTGTTTATTGGAAGCTGCCCGGAGTCCTTTGGGAGTGGGCGGCATACAAGACCAATAAAATACAAATACAAAATAAATATGTCTAGTTTAATGAAAAGAAGGACTAGATAACAGGATTCCAAAAGGAAAGGGGATCAATGTATTTTCCAAAGCACCTGAAGGCAGGACAAAAAGCAATTTATGGAAACTAATCAAGGGGAGAAGCAACCTAGAACTAAGGAGAAATTTTCTGACAGTTAGAACAACTATCAGTAGGACCTTGCCTCTAGAAATTATGAATGCTCCAATACCGGAAGTTTTAAAGAAGTGATTGGACAACCATTTGTGTGAAATGGTATAAGGTTTCCTGCCTGAGAAGGGGGTTGGACTAGAAGACCTCCAAGGTCCCTTTCAACTCTTTTATTCTGGTATAATGAAATTCCTATGGAAAATTATGTATGCATTTTGTGACACTTTTTGTAGGATATCTACCAAAGGTAGAAATATATTTTACACATTCATTTGCTTGCTTACTTAATGTGGAGATGTGAACCAAGATGTTTAATTTTATGAAATCTCTTAACCATGAAAACAGAACAGTTTTCATAGACTAAAAAAAAAGTATCCCCATCTAATATTAATAATGTTTCCTGTGAGAATATGGATTTACTATTATAAATTTCAAATTTATAAATATTGAAATTTGTTATTATAAATGTGAAATTCATTATTGTATTTAACTATGATTATATCGGCTTTGAAATGGAGATGAACACCACCCCCTAGAGTCAGGAACGACTAGCACATATGTGCGAGGGGAGCCTTTACCTTTGTGATTATTAGAATATCCAAAAACATTTTATATGAGTTCAGTGCTAAAAATCTTTGCTGTATAGGCTTGTTGTTCTATTTTATAGCTGTTATNGGGGGGGGGGCAGGGGAGGTCAGCTTCAGGAAAGTCTCAGGAGCCTGCAGAGCAGTAGTGCACACATGCGTGGGGGAGGCCCTTTTTGCTATCCCCAGGCTTCAGGAAAGCCTCTGAAGGCTGGAGAGGGCAAAAAACAGTCCCCATGAGCCAACTGGAACCTACAATTGGGACCTCGTTGGGGCTGTTTTTCTCCCTCCCCAGATTCTGGAGGCTTTCCTGAAGTCTAGGGAGGGTGAAAAATGGCCCCAATGGGTACGGCTTCCAGAGGGCCTCCAGGAGAGGCCAATTTTGTACTTCCCAGGCTTTACAAAAGCCTCCAGAACCTGCAGAGGGGTCGTGCGTGCATGCGTGTGTATGTATGTCACGTGTCCATGTGCAGGTGGGCGGAGAGGATTGAATTGGTGTGGGCACGCATGTACACGCACACAATTTTGGCACGTTGTAAGAAAAAGGTTTGCCATCACTGCTGTAGGTAATAGCGCAAAACAATGTTCAATTGCCACAACTGTCATACACAAGAGGGTTTTTAATATAAGCATTACAGGTAGTCCTCAACTTACAATCATTTGTTTAGTGATTATTCAAAGCTACAAAAGGCACTGAGAAAAGTGAACAATCCTCACAGTTACAGTTACATTGTAACATCCCTGCGGTTATGTGATCAAACTTTGAGAGCTTGGCAACCAGCATGTATTTAGGATGGTTGCAATGGGGTCATGTGATCACCATTTGCAAACTTCTCAGCTGGCTTCTGAGAAGCAAAATCAATGGAAGAAGCTGGATTTGATTAATGACTTAACAGCTGCAGTGATTTGCTTAACAACTGTGACAAAAAAAGGTAGTAAACTTTGGGCCTGACTCATTTAACAACCATCTCGCTTAACTATTCTGGTCCCTATTGTGATTGTAAGTCGAGAACTGTTTTTACTCTACTACCAAGTGCCACTCGCAATTAGGAGAGATGGCGCTCGGTGTTGAATATACAGGATATTCTCAATATTTTCAAAGGGCCAGCAACAGCCTATGCTGCGCCCTGATTGGCTGGGACGCAGCATAGCCTGTTGCTAAGCCAGTTACCTCCCCTGATTGGCCGAGGTACTGTGTCAGCAGTTGCTGAACAGTACTCGGCCCCTGATTGGTTCTGACAGTTCTAACGGTTACAATTGCTAGTATAAATACCCTGGCGCGATCTCTGTGGTTTTGAATCGCTGTCATCTTTCTCTGTATTCAATAAACATCTTGTCCTTGATTCCTGGCTCCTGCGTTTNATAGATATAGATTTATAGATAGATATAGATATATAGATAGAGATAGAGAGATAGAGAGATAGATATGGATGGATGGATGGATGGATGGATGGAGGGAGGGAGGGACAGAGACAGAGACAGAGAGACACAGAGAGACAGACTTCCATCAAGCCAAGAACTTGTGATTTGAGCCAGTCTTAATATAATCACTGGGAGAGAGCCATGACTGGATTTCAAAAGCAACTAATTTGCCAATGATATTTGAAGGCTATAATGAAAAACAAAACAAACCTCAGCAATATTGATTCATGAGCCTAGTGAAGAATGTAAATTCAAAAGACAGCTTGTCAGAAATGAAACTAGGGGACTGCAGCAAGGGCATAATGCTTAAGGCAGCTTGTCTTTCTGCTCACTGGCTTTCAACGGATTCTGCTTTCATTATACATTCTTTACCTTGATGGTTGCTGACTCAGCCTGCAACAAAGGTAGCAAGTTCTCTTCAGTGGCCCACACAGTCCTTCCGTCATAAAATTCCTCCTCTGCTTCAGTCTCACCATTTTCAGTTTCACTGATATCATCCTGCTCAGCATCTCCCTTATATTGCCTATAAAAATGAGCAATGTTCACACAAAATTACAGCATATAGGAACTTGGTCAACTTTGTGAAAACATTCACAGTCACTGTGGGAAGCAAAACATCACAACATCATGTGATAAAATTAAATAAACTGGAACCATGCCGTAGCAACTTGACACATGCTTGAACTAACAGATCTAAAACAGTAAGAGCTATGGAAAGTCTTCTCATCCTGCCTGGAGGTCTCAGGAGATGTATGTCGCCAAATACACAAATTTGAAAATACAAAATGAAATTTGTATTGGATTAATATCAAATATTTTGTACAGCTTTTGCGTGTGTTAGGAGTATATCATGTTATAAAGATTAGTGTGTGTTTAAAATGCCAATTTTAATACTGAAATGTTAATACTTAAACTCTTTAAGCGATTTTCTCTAAAGAATTACTTAAATGTTTAATGCCTATATAATGAAAAATTGCTATAGAGGGGATTTGATTATATCCTTTATTTAATTCTGTCATTGTAAAAAGAATTATGGGATCCCATGATTGCATCATACGACTCACCAGGTTTCATCGGTAAGTAAAGTACTTTCTCCTAGTTTTTTCTCTACCGCCTCGAGTTCAGCAACAGTTTGTTCCAGCAATGCAGATACAGAGTCCTGTGGGAAATAAGTTAACAACATTAACAATATCACCCTCAGTGTCTGAAGGTTCACCAAAGACTATCATTATTCAAGCTGAGAAAACAAATATATTGGCCACGAGGCTTTGTCTCCTGCAGTTTGTGCAAAAACACCTTTAATTATTAGTTTTTACCATTTTCTTGGTGTGGAGTAGCTCAGAACAAGTATCCTCTTGTTTATTTTCACAACTAGGTCTTTGTAGATATTTATAGCTGAGGAGGTTGTACCAGCGCATTGACCTTTCCCCTGTTCTGCAAATATCTGCCAGGCTAATTTGTGCACCTCCCTACAGTAAAAAGAAAACAAAATACATTGATGAGTCCCTTCAGGACATTCAAAGAAATTGATTCACAGATGCTAGGATAAAAGTGTGATCGTGGGCAGTGTACATAATTTACCTTCCCTTTACATTTATACTCTAGGTCCGTGATGGCAAACCTGTGGCACACCATATTTTCTGGCCCGCCAGATGCCACTGGCATCAGCTCCAGCATGCCAGCTGATATTCATCCTTCAGGAGAGCTGGGGAAGGCCGTTTTTGCCCTTCCCAGGCTTCAGGAAAGCCTCCAGAGGCTGGGTAGGGCGAAAAATGGCCCCAACAGGCCAAACAGAAGTTCTGAAATGATCTATTTCCGGCTTCCAGGTTGTGTCT